ACTGCACTCTAGTCTGGGCGACAGAGTGAAACTCCAACTCAAAAAAAAAAAAAAAGATAATTTCAGCAAAACTAGCATCAGGGAAAAAGTAAGGGTCACAAATGCAAGCCTGTAGTTAAACGACCAGAATACAACACCCAGCACTACACTAACTGTGTGGACTTGAACTGGTCCTAAATCTTTGTAGGACTACTACGAAGTACAATAGTATATTCCCTCGTCTACAAGGGGAAGATTGTTGCACATAACCTCAAAACAGTATTTCTCAAACGTTTTGGACTCAAATCCCTTTATGTAAACTTTTTTTTTATTTTTTGAGTTAAGTCTCACTCTGTTGCCCAGGCTGGAGCGCAGTGGCACACTCATGGCTCAGTTGCCACGGGCTCAGGCAATCCACTTGCCTCAGCCTCCCAAAGTGCTGGGATTACAGGTTTAGTCACCGAGCCCCTCCCTCTTAATCTTTTTTTTTTTTTTTTTTTTGGGTTGGAGTCTCACTCTGTCACCCAGGCTGTAGTGCAGTGGCACACACACGGCCACCCCAATGTTGACCTGCTGGGCTCCAGCAATCCTTCCGCCTCAGCCTTTCAAGTAACGGAAACTACAGACACGCACCATCACACCCAGCTAATTTCTGATTTATTGTAAAGACGATATCTCGCCAATTTGCCCGGACTAGTCTTGAATCTGCAGGCTCAGGCAATCCACTCGCCTTGGCTTCCCAAAGTACTGAAATTACAGGCTAAGCCATCGAGCACAGCCTATATAAACTCTTAAAAATTATAAAGGACCCCAAGAAACTTTTGTCTTTTTAGTTTATTTTTTATTTTTGAGTCGGAGTCTCACTGTCACCCAGGCTGGAAGGCAGTGGCACGCTCATGGCCACCTCGGCCTCGACCTGCTGGGCTCCGGCGATCCTTCCCGCCCAGCTAAATTTTTGATTTATCATAGAGACGAAGTCTCACCAAGTTGCCCAGGCTGGTCTCAAACCCTGGGCCTCAGGCAGTCCTCACCTCAGCCTTCCAAAGTGCTGGGATTACACAAATGGTAGTTTCTTTCTTTTCTTTTTTTTTTTTTTAGCTGGAGTCTCACTCTGTCGCCCAGACTGGAGTGCAGTGGCCGCTCCCGGCCACCACAGCCTCGACCTGCTGGGCTCCGGTGATCCTTCTGCCTCAGCCTTCCAAGTAGCTGGAACTACAGGCACACGCTACCACACCCGGCTAACTTTTTTGATTTATTGTAGAGATGAGGTCTCACCAAGTTGCCCAGGTGGGTCTCGAACCCACGGACTCAGGCAATTCACTCACCTCAGCCTCCCAAGTCGCGGGACTACAGGCTGAGCCACCGAGCCCAGCTAATGGTAGTTTCTTAAAGGTTAAGTGCAATGAGGTGTCTGAAATCATTAGGAAAATTTGTTATGAAGCTATGCAGGTCTTCCAATTGACGTATTTTTTATGCAATGTAAAAAGTCACATTTATTAAAATCATCACTGACCTCATCAGGAAAGTCTTAGGAAACTATCAAGCTCACTATGGTGGATACCACATTTTCCAAAACTGTCTTTTTTGAGTTGGAGTCTCACTCTGTCACCCAGACTGGAGTGCAGTGGCCGCTCCCAGCCACCGCACCTCTACCTGCTGGGCTCCGGCGATCCTTCTGCCTCAGCCTTCCAAGTAGCTGGAACCACAGGCGCGCACTACCACGCCCGGCTAATTTTTGATTTGTTGTAGAGATGAGGTCTAGTTGCCCAGGCAGGTCTCGAACCCACGGGCTCAGGCAATCCACTCACCACAGCCTCCCAAAGTGCTGGGATTACAGGCTGAGCCA